TTCCTGTTTTGTTCGGCCGGTCATTCCCAGACACTCCATGGGACTGGTATATCATTGACCCCGGAAAACAACCACAATGTATGTAAAATGATGTACATTTTATGCAATTCGTATATTATAGAGTGACCCCAGGCCCTCAACCACCCCAATGTATGGATGAAATCACCAGTCCCATGGGCCGCCGTGTGAGGGATAGGAACTTCTTCCCCCCCAACCCGATCCAAAGCTCCAAACCCAGATCTTCTGCTCTCTTCAGCACCTCCAGCGCCTTCGCCCAGTGCGCAGGGCGGCGCACTGAACCGCCCGCGCCCGGCGCGCCCAGGGCGCCCAGGGCGGCGCCGAAGTGCACCACGTTGCTGCCCGGCGAGGCCAAACAGCGGAGGGCTTCGGACCTAGGACTGGCCCGACGGACGGACTGGACGAGGCGGGGAGCGGAAAAAAAAACATGATGCATAAAGATTGATGCACTTTGCCCATCCTTTGTTAGAAGCTGTTCATGTGTTGGCAAACATGCCCTTTCGCAGTCCAAGAGGAGCCTCTCACTGCTCTCACCATCCATTCACCCTTACCCTCCCCCTTACCCTCAAGCGCTAAACGAACCTTAGAAAACAATTCCAGCGGTTCCGTGAAGTTATATGCTGAACTTGGAGAATGCACCTGTCACATCCACTCACTGGATGGGACGAAAACCAGGAACCAACCTGGGAACTGCTGGTTCCCTAACATAACACATACCTTCTCAGGTTCGGTACGACTGGACCTCCCCTACAGTGTCTTCTTCTCCGTCCTCACCGTAGAGGTTCAGTTTGGCCAAGGCGCCAGCATGCAGCCTTGGCATAAGCGTTCACGGTACAGCCGCGCGAGACCTCGGAGCCTGCGAGGCCTCGCTGCGTTTGGAGCTCCAAGAGGAGAAGGCCTTGGAGCCAGCGACAGGTGCTCCTGGCAGCAGCTCGACAGTTCGATCCTGTGGACTAAACGATCCTCGTCGCCGGAAATCCCTGGAAAATCAAGGTGAACCGAACGAACTTTCTACCTGTTCTTTGTGAAAGATGGGGTGCCACCACTCCCAACCAAAAGGGTTAAATGCATTTAAATGCTATCCACTGACTGGGTATGGTCCATTGAGATGTGGAAAAAATATACGATTCATCTTCAAAGGAGTGGTTGAGTTCCCAGAATCAGTAAGTGTGGCCATGGATTCACGAATAAAACACAACAGCCGGAGGCACTTCAGAGCCCGGCTCAAGAACTGCTTTCCGTCAAAAACATCGCCAAGCCCAGTCGTAGAGTTGCAAGAATTATGATGATGGACACCAACTTCAGTTCATGCAAAGGTGTAATTAGTTCGTCTTGGTTCCTATTCCTCCCAGGTTTTTAATGGTTTTTATGAGGATGGTGCTTCACATCAAAAAAGGAGCTTCGAATTCCAACTGCCTGGACCTTGTAGTTCGTGAGCTCCACGGGACTCGTTCGCTCCGCGGTGTCCCACTGAGCACATCAGCAAACCCACGACTTGTCATTGACCAGGGGCCACATGTCGGGGTGAATTTCGGTCCTGGTTCGGTCCCTAAGTTTATGGATTAATGGGTACCCCTAAGCTATATAGATTGCACCCCTGGGCGAACTCCTGGGATTGGCCATCTTTCATCGACCAAGAGTTCAAGTACCCTTTCAACCACCATCATGCGCAAAAAAACCGTCCTCAAGATGTTGAAGCTGCGCGTGTCTGCTTGCACTCGCCTGTGCACCAAGGCCGCTAGCAGCTGTCCACCCCAGCGCCACGCGGCACCCGCGGGTCCCGCAGGTCCGCGCGCGTCGTCGACGAAGCTGCTGAGCACGGCGTTGCCGTGGAGGACATCGATGGGCACGTGGAGCTGCTCCATCTGTAGAAGTATGGCCAGAGCATGGGGCCAACCTGCAAACCAATCGCGCAGCAGGTGGTTTGCAGAGTCTATCTTATTGTTTTTTCAGATCAATGCTGGAAGCTCTATAGGATCACCCTGAATATTTCAACGTACCGTCAAGTAGAGGACATGATTCAGCCAGGTTATCGCTTTTGAGGGGGGCCTATCGCTCTTGCAGGGTGCGAACGCCCAAATTCCTGAAACTCACGACCGCGCAGCCACTCTTTAACTGAATGAGTCATCTCACGTTTTGCCGGTAGCTCACTCGACAAACCTGAACTAACCCAGTGGATCCCAGTTACCATATAAGGAACCAGGGATTCGTTCGGTCTATGATCTTAGTGTTTGGAACCACTGGTAACTGCATGTGAACTTGAGTTTATATAACGCATGGAGTATTGTTTGTTGCATGGAGTTTATATAACGCATGGAATCTTTTGCATGGAGTTTCATCGATGTACCATGCTGGATTCCCGCATGCATTTGAAGTAAAAAACGGAGCAGAAACATGCATTCAACTCAAGAAACACCAGATCTGGTTCCGTACCCAAATTCGGACATTCGGGAAATCCTGGCTCCATTCATCAATTCGGGAAATCCGGGCCTCATTCGGCAAAAATCGCCGAATGCAAAAAAAATCATCAGATCGCAGAAAAAGAATATATTTGGGTTGCGCGAAGAAATTTCAACTTATTCGGTGCCCTAGGTAGTGGTAAATGGATGGTCTGGGTAAGATATCCAAGACGTTGGTTGGATCCGAAAAGGGCTCGAACAAGGAGCAGGCCTGGCTATGCCTGGTTGCCTGGACCCTCCCAGCACTCATAGACTGACACGGGGCCCCAAATACGTATATATAAAGTTTTTGTGCAATATCAAGTACCCGTGAGGCCGTGAGGAGCGTCAGGGAGCGATGCCCTGAGAATCCGGGCCCGAAGCAACAGATAGGGTTTGGTGAAGGGGCCCGGACCCCCTGCGTTTCGGTGGAGAAGGTCCGACCCCTGCCATGGAGAGCCCGTTCGGATTCTTAGGGTGAATGTTGGATAGTCCAGGCTCAGTCCAGGTCTCTGAATGAATTCTCTACCGAAGACGGTTGCCACAAAAAGATAGACCCCCGTCCTCCGGGCCTGGCCCCACCCCGTCCGCCTCGTTCTTTGCGGGCCAAAGCAATGGCCTGCCCAAAGCGACGGCCTGGCGTGGGCAGACTGCCCCAACGCCTGGGAACTAATTCTGAGAGGCTTGGTGGACACAAAATCTACATGGAGACCATGAGAAACTGTTGTGGGACATCGATACTAACTAGACTGGCCGGTACCGATATGAAGCGAGTGAAGCTCAAGAGATCGCCGACTCAGCAGGCACTGGATTTCCTTTTCTTGGATTTGCCGCTCCCAGGAAACAGAAAAAAAACAACATATTCCCCAGGTACGGGGATTTACCCATAGGGAAACTAAATCACCTTAAGCAAACCCAGGTTTTGGTTCAGTCAGATGGGCAGTTCTCAAGATTTTGTCTATCTGCGATCACCTCCAACAGCCCTCCTCTTCAGGTGATCGTTGGACCCAAAAAACTTATCTACTGGTGAGTAGATCCGAGTCCTGTTTTTTGCACATGCCGCCAGAAGTAGGACAGTGTTAAACAAAGGTTGATTGCAACACATGATGCAATGGAAGCTGAGTCTGCTTCAAGCAACAACAGGAGTGTTTTACGACACACACCTAAATTGTACTGTAAACATGAGACTACAAACAATGTCCAAAAAAGTGACAAACGTTGCTGGAAGGTGTTGGGTCATGTCAATGTTTCCGCACATGATTCATGAACCCTTCTTTGCAGGCATGTCTTGCCCATGATTTGATGTGCTTTGAATCCTGCAGTGCTTGATGTAATTATATATAACTTTGATCTATCCTATTAGCAGTAACAGTGGATGATGATGGCTAGGTTGCAGGGGTTAGAAGTTGAATCCTAGAGAACACCTCTTACAAAGACATGACATAAATAAGAAGTATCTTCCCGGTCTAAGACTCCAAGACTCCCACCCCGTGGTCCTCCCAATCAATGAATTGTTTTTTTCGGGAACATCTGAACCCTTAACCCTTGTCTTCACCCCCCAATGAAAACCAGGGCTTTCCTGTAGATGTTTCCCTTAGACCAATTCTGTGACCCAATCGGACCACGTCTCGTCCAAAGCGATTCCCCAGTGGCCGTCGCCCCAGTCGCCTGTCTCCATGTCTCCACGCCATGGAGACAGGCCTTCCTCCACTGAGGACGCCCACGAAACAGAGTTGGGCGGTGGATGTCCCAGGCGCGTGGCTGCAACTGGGAGCTCTGAGAGGGCGATGAACTCTGGTTGGAGTGTCTAGGCACAACAAAGACAAACTATATCATTTGCATGGATGAGGTCCCATACCACCTACAGTAAGCCTACGAAGCGTCGGAAAATTGTCTCTTAATGCCATGGTAAAAATGTAGAAACTTCAGGAGGGCATCATGAATGTGTTTGCATTGGAAATTGATCTGATATGGCTTCTGTGGAAGGTGTATGGTCCATGCTGACAGTGATCTTGCGCAGCAAGAAGGATGTATATACATATATACACACTGATGTGCATACACATAACTTACTGTCTCCAGGACAAGCTCTGCCATTGGCGCTTGAAACATACCGGCAAAGATTGCTGCAAGTACCAGCAAGCTCTTTTCCCGCAGATTTCCCAAGCACAAAGCATACCTGCTAAATGCATTCAGCTTGTATTGGACCAAAAAACTTGTAAAGGCATCTTCCTCGGTGGCCTCCACGGATCTTTTTCAACATTCAGGTGCTGGTCAAAGTCTGTGCAGTTTGCTCAAGAGTATCATCAGTTCCGTATTACAACACGATAGAAGAACTGCAGTAAACAAATCAAGCGCGTTGATTCACCCCTCAAGTTGTCTATACAGAACGGAACAAGCTGACTTTAAGCACTTCTATTCTCAAATGATCTCAAATGTGCTTATCTATCTATCCAAGTCAAAATCACTGGTGTAGGCTGTACTGGTTGGAAAATGAATCCTGGTCAAAATTATGTGACACATCCTCACCAACCTGAAGCCTGCTAAGAATGAAAGTAAATTTCTTTGTTAGTACTGTAGATACTACCAGCGGCCCATATTTTTTCGACGCTTGGGTCGGACAGCTTTGCCTTTCAGCCTGGGCAGCTGTGAGTGGTTGGGCTGGGGCCTGCTTCGTCCCTCCATGTGCATGCCTCCTTTTAGCCATATACTGACACTGCAAATGACTGAAGCCAAAACATGCAATGCTGCTAGACAACCTTTCACATAGCTCTTGACAATGCAATTCCCGTAGATGGCTGAAGCTCAAGAATGTCAAACAAGCTTGGAAGATACTACGTGGATGGTAGATTCTTCGCACTCAGATCCATGCACGCATGAAACCGCACACGAAATGAGAAGTCATGATAAGTCTCTTGTTTGATTTATCTCGTTTTGTTTGCATCTTCAGGCAAAGTTTCTTCAGAAACTTTCTTTGATGAACTCCACCCCGCAAGACAGGAATACAGTCAGGAATAAGGACAACTCACAGGAAAGCATGGTGGCCTTCTCCTCGAAACTGATTTCGGAAAATCACACACTATAGCGTAAGATAGTGTAAGCCAAGTTTGCTCACGTCAAACATGAGATTTATCATGAACAACCGTCAAGATATATCAACGATATCAAGTGATTGGCACCCCTTTGCTTAAGTGCTGGTGCAACGCTCTCATGAAGGCCCAACCTGTAGGCATGGGCATCCTGAGGCCAGAACTGGGCATGACACCAGTGGCTTGACACCAGTCAGTGTGTAGTACACGGCAGACCTCAGTGATAAATTGGTTCATTCAAACACACTTTGCCAATTCAAACAACAGAACAAGTGTTGTGCTCCAATTGAATGTCAACAGAGTGAAGTCACAAAGGAAGCGAGAAAGCCCAGCATTTCTCCAGTCTCTGGTTGCCTTCATTTTGAATTGTTGTTAAGGAATGCACTCAGTGCAAAGTGCCCGATCCTCACAAATCAAGAGAGTCTATCTTGAAAGTCTCGGGTCCTGCAGCGAATTCTGTTCTAGAAACGGTGAGCATGCTCAGTCAGCTCATCATGAAGAACTTGCAGACTCAGAATCTTCAGCGGGAACAAGATCGTAGGAGCGGCCACAGGTGTCCAGGCACTCTCCACAAAACTCTCTTTCAGCTTCAGACTGAACATCATTGAAGCAGGGAAGGAACCTACCGACAGGTTGTGTCTTCTTAATCTTCCGGGAAATTCTGCTGGGATGGTTCATTGCCCAACAGGCCCTGATAGCAAAGACGATATTGCACAGCCCAAAGCAGCCGAACAAGATCGATCCGGCCAGCAGCATCTCTTGATCATGCTGGGAATGGCATAAAGCTGCCACACAGTTCTCCAGAACCACCAGGAAAAGGAAAATGAAGCACATCGTGACGTAGTGATCTAGCCAAGTGCTGTAGCCGATCGGAGGTACCATCTGTGCCACTACATATTTATAAGCAACTGCTGCGAGCACCAGCGTCAGGGAAGCTGACAAACGATCCGAGAGTTTCTCAGGGGGGATGACGATTGAAGAGGCGCTCATACAAACAATCAAAAAGAGTGGAAACACAATGTTGGACACATAATGCCATGGTGTCCGCCCCATTTGCACAGTGACGTTCAATGTGTGACGCAGAACTCCATCCTGCACATAGGACTGCTCTGTGTCTTCTTCCCACACATGCAGCCGATCATCTTCATCTTTTGGACTTTTCCACGAGTTTTGAAGGATGGTGAAGGCTTTGGGCCGGATGACCTTTCCATTTTTGCCACAGGCAAAACGCATCTTCATGCTGCCATCCTTGTAGGGATACCGGATCATCATTGACACGGTAAAGTCTTGGCTATCGAAGGGGAAGTTCTTGAGTTCCCACGCCTCTCCGAATTTGCCTAAAAATCTCCATGACAAACGAAAGGAATCGTCGCTCTCCTTGTAGGACACGGCTGGGTGTGTAAGTGATGCATCTTCGATGTCCACCATGTTTTGGCTGGCGATCCAGCGGTCACCACGACCACCGTCTGCTTTTTTTTGGAAAGGTTCCAAGAGCTCTTTGATCTGCTTGCACCTTCCACATTTGAAACTCTGGCACTTCGTTGGGCACTTTGGTGTCGTGAGTGAAATCCAAAGGTCTGCTCCAAACTGTTGATTTGCTAGGTCAAGGGACATAATCGAATCAAATGCCACACGAACGTCCATGACAACATCATTGGTGTCAGGCTCCATGTGGGTCCCCATCGCTCAATTTGATATCTCAGAAACTACAACATGTTCCAATCACTCGAGCCAAGCAGGCATTAGCATCTTGACGAGCAGCAACCAATGATTATGTCCAAACTTCAAAGTGACCCACTTGAGGGTCCCTAAGCTCTGCAAGAGACCTGAAATGAAAAGCCTGGTATTCAGTTTTTACAGGTCTTGCTTCCGGTGCAGCTGCTTGTTTTTTGAGATGTTTTCAAGCGTTGTTGGTTCTGCTGTCCTAGACCCAGTGCAATGCACGGCTCGGCCAGAACGAATAAGGCGAACTGAAGAACGAGAGCAGTCCAACTGGCCAAAGTAATGCACGTGAACACTATGAACACTGTTGATTGAACCACCTGCACGTGAATCACCGGCTCAAACAGTCCCGCGTGACATTTTCCAATGATCAAATCCCCGTGGCCTCTCCTCCAACAAACTACTCAACAAACCACTAGACTTCCAAGCATCACTGAGGATGAAAGGCTGAAACTACCTGCCGGTCTTCGATCAGTACGTTGAGGAGTCATGTTAAAAGCATCGTTCGTATACATGAAGCATGTGGTCTTGCTGTTTACTGAACTCTTAAATACGAGCTTCGATGTAAAAATAACATGACAATGATTATGTCTTTAGAATGCCCTAGAACCCTCAATCTTCGCCTGCTTCCGTGTAGCAAGGACAATGGGCACAGCAAGATAACCTGACGGCCGCGAAAACGAACTTGTGAACCATGGAGATCGGCGCGCTGAAACACTTGTTGAGACAATCCAACAGCATGAGAGCAGCCTCAAATGGAAGGAAGCCTCTCTGCATCCAAACCATGGCAAGGAAGGTCGCTGGAGATTGAGGTGAAATCGGCACCTTATTCTCAACCTGTCTCTCTCCATGTGTATTACAATGTAATCGTAGCCTGTCCTAGCGGGAGTTGGGCTGGTTTTGGCAATACTTCCACGTTCAGTCCGTTCGATTTTCGCTGCCGGGGCATCTGGCAATAGTAAGGGGTTCATACCATGTCGATGCTCCTTCTTGCTTTTAGGTTCTCCTCTTCATGCTGGCACCACACTTGTTGCAATATCTCCACCTAGCTAAAACAAACAAAGTTGACTTACATGCCTGTAAAGGTGTGATTGTGTGGCAAGCACCACGGTATTCTGTCACATTCCAGGTCTTGAACGTACTATGCACAATATTCAACTTTTGCAAACTTAAGATGCGAATGTTTACCACACTGCAAAGGCAACTAGCTTTGTTTGACACGCAAAAATGTATAGACATGCAGCATGCACCTTCAAAGAACAGTGCGAACAATCAAAGCAGTGCCAGTCTACAGCTCAAAAGGACATGTACGATTGAGATTAAACACATCAAGGACTGACAGTGTGTCTCTCTGGTGCACCTGGACACGCGTCTATTTGTTGATCATGGCACATATCAATTGAAGAACTCCTTTCGTGCGCACAAACGACAAATCACAAGGCATTGGCTTGCGATTGCCGCACTGGTTCTCAATAGCTGCATTTCCAGCAGCAGAACTGCACCTTATCATATCCGCTGAAGAGGCAAAACTGCCGGGAAGGAGCCTGAACCGAATCGAACAGCCTTTGAAGGATCTTACAAGGATCTTAACTTGAAGGTGTGTCTCCAACGAAATCCTTACGAAACCGTGTGCCGTGTGCCTCCATCGTGCTGAAAAACAAACTGCTAAAAATGATTAAAGTAATTACAATGAGCTGACAGTCCTTAGCCCCGCAAAAATGGTCACACACGTCTTCAATGAACACGTGTGAGCGCAACATGCTCTTTGAAGGGAAGCAACGCTAAGCTAAACAAACAAAATGATGTCAACATATCCCACATGAGCATGATAAAACCGTTTCCCAACGATCGCTTTGGAGGTGTAATTGTGGATTTGCCATCTGCTGTTATTGTTGTTTTTTAGCAAAATGTGGTTTGCTGTTGTTATTGCCATGGCGGTTCCTCATAGATCTTTGCGGTAAGCCTACATCATTTGTTGATGTTGCATATAAATATATGACTTGGAAAACTGTTACTTGCTGTGGCTGACCATTGTTGTCGTCGTCTTTGTTGTTGTTTCTACATTGTCGTCATTGGTGTTCAAACAATTGCAGTTGTTTTGTCGTGAAAATGGGCGTTGGTTGGTCGTTGCTGCCACAAAATTGTTTTTGATGCTGTCGTTTGGCTCTCCATTGGTCGCCATTGGTCGGTGCCATTGGTCGGTTTGTCTTCATTTAATGTTTCTGTTGACTTTGCAACTTTATAGTACATTGCTAATGACCGTGGTTTGTGGTTGCGATTCCAAAGTGCTTGCATGGCTCTCAGTTCTGGTCACTGTGGGCCGGGCCACCCGCGAAATGTCAAAAACGAACCGTGGGAGCTGATCACTGGAAGGACGCTGGATGGAAAAGCACCGCCTTGCAAGGACAATGGTAAAACATGTTGTTTTGCGATACCTGCACATACCTCAATCTGATGTTGAGCAGCGGGTTCATATCTTGAGAGCATGTTGAATGCACCTGGCTCTGGCAGCTTCTGCATTCAGCTTGGATTGCAGGCACACGTGTTGAAACATGTACATTGTACATGTCCACGTGATGTCCGTGTGATAGCACGTGATGGTCGAGCTTGTCACAAGCCAGTTGAGGCAATCCTTCATTGTGCCAAGGAAAAATCACAAGGCGTTGATTACCTTGCGATATCCGCAATCGCTATCAATATAGATATTCACGTTTCAGGCGAAACAACGCGCCTGCATCCCGCCGAACAACAAATTGCCGATGTTCAAATCACAACCAATGGCACCCCGAAAAGGCCACACACTTGGTTTGATGAATGAATTGAAATGAATTGAGCCATTTCTGAAAACACGACAATCGCTTTCAAAACACATCCAAGTGCATTGTCGAGTGCCCCTCCCAATGGCAAGTTCTATGTTCAGACCGTGCTTACAAGTTCCACCCACAAAAAAAAACAACTTGCGCCATGCGTTCACGCAGGAGAAGAGAATCTGAAGGCGTTCACTTGCAGTTGCCCCTTTGCGTTGCCTGAATAAGTGTCACGTCTTGGCCGTGGAGGGCGTTTGCATCAAATGGGATACGGGCTGCAAAGGTGTCTCCACTTTTTTTTTTGCAAAGCCCTCCAGTCACGGCCTCGCAACTACAAGCTGCCAATCCCCTTTCTGGAAAATCACACAAATGCTCGTCTGAACAACAAAACAAATGTGGCAAAACCTTTGTAGGCAATCAACGAAAAACATGACTATATCATCGGCGGAAATTGAATGCATCTCTTCTAACTGCCCTTCTTTGGGGGAAACGGCTTCGCTTGACCAAGCACTAACAATTATGTATATACATCTGTAGCCGGCAAATACTTGGCCGGTGGCTGGTAGCAGGTCGCTGGTCACCACCGATGTGTGAAGCATGCCTATTGTGAGCCATCCGATGGTAAAATTTACAGGAGGAAGGGGCCGTTGCAATGAAACCCTTTTGAGCCACCCGAGGGAAGAATATATAGAGGACGAAAGAACCAGTCCGAGGAAGCATACCTGGTCAACCGAAGAAGCCATTCCAAGGAAGCCCTTTCGCGAGCTAGCCACCTGTAGAATTTAGAAGAGAAAGGAGGTGGTCTGGAGAAGAATCCCTGTTCTGAGCCTATTGCTCAACAAACATCAACAAACTATGTGGTTTTCCAATAAACACTCAAACCGATGAACCAGATTTGATCAATTGCTATTACAGCAAATTCCGAATAACTAAATGGTTCCATGTATATTATATAAACATCACCAAAACTTCTACCAAAAATATTGTTGTTTATTGTTATGGCATCACCTTCAAATTAGTGTAATAGTAATAACTTAGTAATAACCTATTAGTAGGGCATACAACTAATACTGTGTAGCCATTATCAACCATTTTCTGGCAGATATGACTTTTGTTTGTTCCTGCAAATAATATCCTAATCATTACATGGTTCACTTTCTCAATGTTACTAACAATATCATCAGTATCATTGATTTCTGATATTTTTGGACAATCTCTTCGACCTGACTTTGTGAACATATCATGTCTTACTTCTACTATTCATTTAGTGTATCTGGCACTGGCAGCTTCGGTACTCATTTTAATTGGGGGCATACATGTTTTAAACATGCCCATGCCCGCGTGCAAATGTCAGCTGAGCTCGGCAAGGACTCTTTGCATCTCTCTTTCACTTGCAATTGCTGCACGGGCCCTCGGTAGATTTCCAAGGGTGTGCCTCATGAACCGGGACGGGGATAGAGCCTGACTATATATAAGTCTCGTTACATATGCGTCTCGCAGGGGTTAGAACCAAATGAAATGGCCGCTTGCAAAGGTGTGTACTGAACTTAATGCAAAGCCGTGCATCTGCAGCGAGTTTAAAACAAGCTGACAACGCTCAACTCCCAGTCCATTTACACCACTGCACAGAGACACTGCCCCTTGATAAACATGATTACATTCTATTGCAAATGCTTTGTGGATGAGTCGAACTCCAAGATAGTATTATTTGTGTATATATTGTATAGTCCTCCTTGCCAAACTGCGACTGCCCTCCAACGAGTTTGAAGCCGTGCACCTGCAGCCTGCCCAACAACAAACTGCCGATGCCAGCCCCAGCTCACATTAATGCACACTCCTTTGCACTGAAGACAAACAGCACAGCATGAGCCCTTTTTGAATGACAACAAGTTGCTTAACTGATTTTGGTGAAAAGAACGATCAAACGGTAAATGCATGTAAATGCTAAACACATATATTTTTGGGCAGGTCAGCCGTCTTCCTATGACATGGTTGCTGCAAAACAGCAAATAGTTTGTCGCTGTCACAGTTGCAGTCCTGATTGTTGCTCGTTGCCGAAGGATCCTCCTTGACAGTGTGACCATTGTGACCAGTCATTCAAACCATCACATTGCTGGACAAAGGATTAAACACAATCTGATATTCAAACGAGGTGCATCTGGCTCTGCTTGGCTCTTCAGACCTGGATTGCTTGCTCAATGACCAAAACACTTGCAACATCTGTCACATGTTGATCACCGCCAACCAACCTGTACTGTTCACCCTGCAAGGAAAGCACCGTTGGTTCCAACAAATTCCTGCCTCGGGGACTTTCTTCTGCTTCAAAATGGATTTGTTGCTTCTTCTTCCTCTCCTCAAAGACATCCTTCAACTCTGACAAGCTGTCAAACGATCAATGCATTTGCAAGATCCTTTGTAATAAGATCCGTTTGCAAGAGCTCAACAGGTGAACTGATGTCTTTTTTGCCAGGTGTCCTCTTCACTATGCCATGACAGTTTGACAATGCCAATGATGCTGCGATGCTACAAAACGTCCCGGTCAGGAGAAACACAACGACTGCTGTCCTTGTTGCAGTCCTGTTGGTTGCTTATTGCTGAAGGATCCTCCTGACAGCGTGGCCAGCCGTGCAAACAACATAACGCAAACTTTCGGGGACCAAGGCAAAGAACAGCATACGTTGAACATCCTTCAACCAAGGAAAAGCAAATATTAACATGCACTAACCTGTTGTCTTCATGAGACAAGGGGCCAAGGCTTCTGGCTTCCATTCCAACTTCACACTGCCTGGACCGCTTTTCCCAAAGGCATCCCTAACATTATCGTGCCTTGTTGACCAACAAATGAATTCAGCATCTGTAGCGTCACTAATGCAAGATTCAAGATACAACATTACATAACATTACCAGGTCCCCGTACTTTTCATCCCACAAGAAAGCACACTTGGTTGGAACAATTGCCTGCCTGTGGGACTTTTCACTGCTTCTACTTCTGCTTGCTTCTGATCTTTCTTTTCCTGTTCTGTAATGATGGCTCTCAACATCTGTTCCGTGTTGGCGTTCAACACATCCTTCAGATCCTCCAATAATTCTGGCAAAGACTGCAGCAGCGCTTCCTCAGTGTGTGGCTCCTTCCTGTGAGCCCATGTCAGTACTGGATCTACATTTTGGGAAAAATCATGCTCTACCCAAAAGTTTGTCACCACCCTCCGTGTTCTCTTTCTGACCCACAGCTTTGTGGCATGACTTTCCAACTTCCAGTAACCGGGGGGGGCATTGTGGCCTGCAAGGCGATCCATCGAGCATTGCCTGCAAATACTCAGAGAGGGCTGGAAGTTCCTTCAGCTTCTCTGGGCCACACACCTCCTTCGCACACCGAACCATTTCTTGAAAGAGTTCCGCATCTTTCACTGACCCAGAATATTCAAAGTCCAGCAAAGCTTCTTGGGCTTCGTAGATCTTGATGTCTTGCGATCTCTTCTTTGCTTCCATCTCAATGGCACAAAGCTTCTCTTCAGTCACATCAGGAGGCCTGGGGTGTTCATCTTCGGCCCGGGTGAAGGCTTTCAACAGTGCTTCTGGGTCTCCAGACTGTGCAGCCTCAATCAGTCCAATCAGTGTGTCAGACTTGTACACAGGAGCCACCCTCCAATCTGGAAGCTCTGTTCTATTGGACAAGTGTGTCCACAACTTTGAAAGCTCCTCTTTCATACTCTCCTGCTCCATGATTTGCTGATCATCCTCTGCATCCCTTTCATATGTCGTATCAATGAAAAAGAATTGAATTCTCTCTGCCGTATCTTCATCCAAGCTTAAGAGCTTTTCCTCGGTCAACATCTTGCGAAAAAATTGGCTAAAACCCTCTACGGATAGACTTTTGCGTTGTTCTCGCTTCTTTTGGGAGTACGCATCGTACTGCCATCGGTTGACGACAACCACACAATGCTGCCACATTTCCTCACCTAACAGCCTCTGGTAGGCAAGCAATTCTTTGCGCAAATTCCCAGAAAAGGTTGGGCTGCTATCTAGGACAAGCACGACTGCGTGTATACAGCCAAGCTCTCTGATTGCACAGCCCACCTCCTGCAGGGTTTTCTGATCCCTTTCCTCTCCTTGCGAGTCTCCCAAGCCAGGAGTGTCCATGAAAATCACATGCGAATCCTTCTCATTGAGCCACTCTCCTGCTTCAAGCTGAACTTCTCGGGTTGTCGAATTGCCCGAGCTATGTCCAACTTTGAACCTGGATGTCCATCCTTCCTCTGTCCACTCAAGTGTTCCGTCACCAAGCCCACAAAATGAGCTCTTTCCTACACCTGTCTCGCCTATCACAACGAGTGTTGTAGCATCTTCGGGCATGAGATTTCTCCGCTCTGCAAGCCTCCCTCCAAACACAGTGTCGGGTGTTTCCAGCTTTGAAATGAGGGCCTTCTGGGAAGCAAGGGGATCTTCGTTAACTTCTTGAAACAAGCCAAGTTTGTGCTTCTGTTCCATCATTCGCAAGCCCACAAATCTCAGCTTGAATGGCCTGCCCTTTCTTTCAAATTCGTCCTTCTTTTTTAAGAGCCATGCCACTTCTGCCTTCTGGGACTGACCCAAATAATTTTGCATTCTACAGGGGCCACGTATATCTGCCCAATGTGGCAAGTCTGGGTCCTCATCAAGCGAAGTCATCTTGTAGTTGCCTCCATCGATTCTGGCAAACAGCTCCTGCTCCTGGGCATCATAGTCGTTGTACACAACGACCAAATCCTGTTCATAATCATTGGCCAGCAATACGTTGCACTTCCACAATTCAAACCAAATGCAACCCTGTTCCTTTTGCATCTCATGAAACCGATGGCAGTAGCAAAAGCATCGTTTTGACAGAGCAGCATCAGGATCCCTGGCGTGGTTTGCTTTGAAAAAGCGCATGAAGGCTTCTGGTTTTGGAAGATAAACACAAGCCAATGCCAAGCGAGGGTTCTTCAGCAGCTTCTTCCACAATTCTCCAAACTTCCCTGGAAAGCTCACAACGCATTCATCAAGCAAGTTGGCTTGACCTTGATCTTGGCGGGGATTGTACCCGACGGTCATCCTGCCTAGTTTGCTTCTGATTTCCCAAATCAATTTGTGATCGGTCTGATCCTTCAAATGATCTGCCATCACATAGCCTGCCTTACGGACTAGGTTGTCCGTGTATGCCCAATCATACAAAAATCTTTCCATCTTAGCCCTATCTTGGTCGTTGAGGTGCATCATGGTATTTCTGTAGACTCCCGAATCGTGATGATCACCGATGCCCCATATGTGTGGAAGTGCCATGCGTCCCTCTTCAGTTCCGGTTGACCATACCGGAGCGTTGTTGCCATCGAACAGGATCGCAAGCCCATTGTTCTGAAGCTCAAGCCGGCCACCTGGCACAGCCCGGTTTTTCTTGTCCCGATGCTTGGTTGACCAAATCTCCTGATTTGTGCTGTCCCTAATGACCAGTGCCACAGATGACTTTGCTTCCTCGATCGCCAATGTAAATGTTGGTGGCTTGGCAGTGCCTCGCCCTCGTTCACCTCTTTCAAAACTCCCTGATCTTTGATGAGAAACAAAAACTGGATCTTGACAACTGCTCCACAGGACATCCGATGGAGTCCGTAATAGTGTCAAAATACCAGTTTCGTTCAGCACCAAGCGGAATCTTTTGTCGGTGGATTCCAAGAAATCTGGTGACTTGAGCTTTGCACCATTCTCGAGTCCGCTGGTGTCCTTCTGCTTTGGTTGATGTGGTCAGGAAAACAACATTGAACAACTAGTTAGAACAAATGTAATTAGTGTAATATATTAATATATAATCGTCACATCCCTTTCAAGCACTCTCCAGCATCAAATCGTAAATTCACAATTTGAGGAAACAAATGTTCTGATGATCACAGTCCTGTCTTTGTTTGCGTCCCTTCTGTTGCAAACACCTCGGATCCCAGAAAGAATCATTTGACCTCAGGTCCTCAAAAGTTGGCACACAAAACTGAGTAGGAACAGAAAGGAGTTTCCAAGGCTTGTAATTACAAAGAGTTCAGGCGCTAAGGCCTGTCGGAAAGGCTGCAACCAAGATTCTGAACCTTCTCGGCATACTCCTTAAACTTCCCTGGGTCCTAATGACAACACTAACTTCCAAACAATAACAAAACTTGAAATATGCACTGAAGCTGTCCAGTCTCCCGAGGATTGAGAAGTGCACAGTTTGTTCCAGTTGAATGTGCCAACACTACATGTGAGTTCTTGTTGATTGCCACTGTTACCGTCCCCTAAAACTGGTAACCAACCATCTAGTCTGTCCTCTGGGCACAAAATCTTCAGCATCTCCAAGTCAGCCTTTGCCCACACCTGTCACAAATTAGAGTATCTACTAATGTACATGCAATCATGGGGAAACTGTCTTCTTAACTCGACTGACCTTTCCTTTCAAGAGAGCGCAACTTCGACACTATGTTGTTTATGAAAATCTCAATCGTGCTGATGTCCTGTCCCAAATGGTGCCGTCAAGGTTGGTTTTGAGGACCACTATGCCGACAACAAAATATGCATGGTAGAGTGAACATTTTGGTAGCATGTGCTTCATTCGCAGAATTGAAACCTAGGAGTATACTGGAGTGACTGCATAGGACGCATAGGGCTTAGGCAACCCCAAAGCAACTTCATAGATGGGCACGGGCGGCAAATGCAAGCAGCCTCCGCTCGTGTTGGTGTCAAGCGCTCTTGCTGTTCAATCGCTTCTTCCCAGTCCCTGGAACCGCGCAATTATTGAAACAAGGTCACTGAAAGGAATTGGTGAAACTGCTGACGGACCATAATATATTGCAATCAAAACTGCAGCAAAACAATCCACATGTGTGGCCTGTCTCTCCTTTCGCGGGGCTGCATGCAGAAACTCATTAACCACAATTGGCAAGCAGGGCTGCAGTTTAGCAGTTTAGCCTTTCAATTTGATTGGCCAAGGTACTTGAGAATCGTGTTCAAACTCGCCTCAATTAGCTTCAAGTCCTCACCAAAAATGCAAAAACAACATGAATTGAATACCAAACAAACGTTGCGATTGAAATGCAACACAACATATTTGATACTTGTGCGGAAACATATACTTGATCAAAACTGTTTCATGCCGTCTCCTCATTATTGTCCTCTGAATCTTCTGTTAGCCCCATCAGGTTGTCGCCACCCGAAACATATTCTGCAAGAAGCTTTTCATCAGACCTAGTCGAAAACAAGGCCACATGTATCCCGGATCCTTTACATGCGAGATCAGTAACCAGGTTTGGCAAATACTACGCAGCAAAACATCAGGAATTAAGGTTCCACACCAATTAGTGTTCAAGAGGCATGTTATGATGCTGCCTAAACAACAAACACAACCGTTGCCAGAAATTGCATCCATGTTCATTTTATGAACTGTTCTTCTTCAGTGCAAAATACAAGTTCACAGCACAAGCCCCTCTCGGAATGACGTCAGTGGATGCTCAGCTAAAGCACCGGTAAGTTCTCTTAATTGACAGGGCAACAATATGGAAAGTTGACTAAAATTAAAACCAAGGAGCAATGGAGAGTCCTTCACAAGACACTTAATTCTGACATGTAGTAACTTCCTCAGCTGAACAATAGTAATTCAACATATTCACAGAATGCTCGGGGAAACTATTTGTTGGGTGTATAAGAAGAACCCAGGTCACTCCAAATGTTCAAACAGGCAAAGGCATCTTTTTAATTAGGTTTGTTGCGGCAGTACAGCCATCCGGTTTTGATTACTTGCACTCCCTACCTCTGATGGCTGGATGCTGCAGCTTGATAAGGGGCATTGAGAAACACCATTAAACATGTTGCACGCCAATTGTTTTTCGCATAGTTTAGTTTTTTGACAAGTGTCCCTCCAAGACGTGAGCACTCAACAAAAAAATAGAGCGGATGATTATTGGGGTGCACCCGAAAGTAATAAACATTCAAAATCAACGCAGTGTTCAGGGGTCCAGGTATGTATAGTATACTGTGTGAATGTCATGCCTGTTGGAACAACAATGAATCATAGACCATAGATGTTTGCGGCCATATAGGCTGGAGTCTTTTGACCTGGAGCACAGGGGTGCTCACCGGCGGTCACTCGACACCGCCCAAGCCATAAGCAAAGGTGTGCGGCTGACGGCGGCTGGGCAGGAGATTGGTTGGTCAAGCCAATGTACACTGGTAGCGGAGCCAGTTTATACTGGTTGGTAGGAGAAGAAGTTGGAAGGGCTGACGAAGCGCTTTGATGGAGAAGGCGCCAACCCAGCCAAAGACTACGAGCGATGACGGCGCTGGTGCCGAGCCTAATTGACGGTGCAGAAGGTGAAGGGAAAGGGACATCCACATTAAGAAACCCCAATCTAGAGTCTATGTAATGTTGGTTGCAGTATTTTTAGTCTGAATGTCCCATTTAAGAAATATTCTAGACTCTTTCTGAATATAAAGTTCGGCCGTATTCTGTGCAGTATCTGTTCGTTGTCTCTTTGCTTCATGATATTACTTCTTTTCTCTCTCCCATAAAAGCCCTTTTATACTTCTTTCCTTTTACCTTTTGATCTCCCTTGTTCTTGCTCTCTTCTGTTCCTAACTAAACAACTTTGCCAGCCTTGCCAATGGAACAATGGTGATGCACGCGAAAGCGGAACCTGGCCTTCTGAAACATGATCCAAAACCATCAAGCCATCTTATAACCCCTATATAAGACCTTGCAAACTAGCGAAAGTGCTGCCAAAATGCGATGCTTCCACCTTCAACGCTCCCACTGTTGTCTGAGGCCAGAAAGGACCTTCCAGGATGTAGTTTCTGCTTCAGCACAACTAAGAGGAGGTGCGTTATGTTGGCTACAAACCAGTACGTTGCACTGCCAAGTGGCACTTGGTCTCCTTTCCACTGAGCAATGAGACTGACACCTCCTGCTTGTTGACATGGACAACGCTGCTCCAACTGTCCTTGGCCTGAGCGTGAGGTGAACAGCGTCAGTTGCATGATCAGCTTCCTTGACGCTTCTACGTAACTGATACTCGGGTAAATGCAAAACCTGAGACCAAGTCCATCAAAGGTTCCTCCATCCCCAGCAGCCCAGCGTGCTATGCAACGAGATCCCACTGTGAAGCCGATAGAGTTGCTGCGGCATTCCCACGGGTGGTCCCCAAATAGACAGAAACATATAGAAACAGTTGCATATGCTGCATATGTATGTTTCTTTTGGTGTCAGTATGTGTAACCTCCGTACTTTCATTGTTCAGCTTGAAGTATCCAATGTAAAACAAATAACACCACAAACTCTGAAAACATCTGAAGACCATTGACCTAACATTGAAATTCTCTGAAACAAAATGCGGAATGCATCATTGGAACAAAAAAACTTGAATTGCAAAACAGTTCAAATCACGATGGGTCTCGGGCAGTGGTCTTGTGTTGAACAATCTGTATCAGCTGGCATTGTTTCTCGGCAATTGCCAAAATTCCGCACAAAACTAGCACTTTATCACAGCAAGTCACATCTTGGCCAGTGTTTTGGGCTGCAAATGTATTGCCGTCTTTGACAAGGAAAGGACGGAAATGCATGTCCAATCATCTCCAAATGGTGCAGTGCAGCCTATCTTTTTCCAGCATCTGAATGCCAATCTCTTCGCACCTTGGCAACAATCCAAATCCGTACCCTTAAACAAAATGGAACCTTGCGGCTTGCAGGAGTTTTTCGCAAAGGGGCCGGACGACAAACTCATCAAAGTTCTTCTTCCACCTCTACCTTAGTCTCTGAGGAACAAAGACTCCTGATGGTCTAAGTGAAGTTCCTCAAAGGTGTCACCAAATACATGGAAAGTCGGATTCCCCATTCCGAGACTAAACGCAATATATCGTAACAAAATGCCATGCATGTCAACTATGTATAGCATAATAATATATTATATACATATGTTTTAAAATATGTGTATTGTTGCATATTGTTGTTGATCAAAATGTAGCACATGGGCTGGGCCAATTTTTAACACACACAAAGTTACTTGTAAATGGTCATCAGAGGCGAGCAAATAGCTAACAAGAACAGTTTCAAACAAATGTAAAAGGCACTTGCAGCCAAGGCACTCGCAGCATCAATGCAAAGTGTCCCCCCCAAAAAATTGATCCTTTCTCCCAGGCGTAACTCTTGCAGGAGTTGATTGACAAAGTGGCAACCACATTAACACTTCAGCCGCCTGGGAGGTTTCTTCCTCCCATGGAGCCATTCAGCGTCATCTTGAGTGATTGCTATCTTCAAGTGATTCATACCCTCCAAGAAATTTGTCCTCTCCCACCCTCCAGATTCCCGCTGGGTTCCACGACAGGCGCGCTCTTCGCGCCCAATGTCGTGGCAGGCAGCGTGGTGTCACCCGCCTGGGACTCGTTGGAACTGACTACGGGGTCGGAGGGCAACACCACTCCCTCCCCAAGAATGAATAAGTGTTTGAGCCGCAAGGCTCAAAATTGATACTCTACAACTTTATTTGACTGGAGTTGATCGTAACACTGCTCTTACTGGACTGGACCTGTACGACCGGACCCGACCCTAGACTGCTGAGATAAAAAGAGTTGAACATAGCGCCTTCTCAAAGGGTGGCAGTACATATAGATAGATAGATAGATAGATAGATAGATCCACTGTTATTGTATATAGAGAGATCCACTGACCCTTTGAGAGGGTGATATGTTCGACACTTTTATGTAGGCGCCTGCAGGGTTCAAACACCTTAGAAGGTACTTGGATCCCTAGGGTAGGTATACCTACCCTGTTTTCCAACCTACTGTCGAGATATTTTTGGACTTGCTTAGCAAATGGAACAGCATGAGGCATCGCCGCAAGCCCCTGCACGTTCCGCTTTTGCGCCTGTGATCGATGACGCGTTCTTGTATGGCCATCGTGCAAAGTATTCTCCTCCATCTTGTGTATCACCTACACCCTGAACTTGCAACAGGAAATCAGGGTCTTGCCTTTGCAAAGATCTCGCTTGCCTATCTGGACATATCTGAACTGACGGCAAGTTGAGGTGAGCGATAAAAAACAACGATCCTTCATCCTGGACAGGATTCCCATGATGGTTGCAGTCTTGTGAAGCCTCCTGAACCTCCTCCTTCTTCAGAACCAAGTGCTTAGAAATTGAGTGGCAATCTCAATCTTTGACTTTTCTCTAGGGCTCCAACCACATCCTCAGAATGTACCAATTCTGTGCAAGTTACTTTATTTCTTAGGTCGTCTCCCTCGTGGGCTTAATTTCTTGGCCGCGTTTAGTGTCCTCGTCCGCTAATTCGGGTCATCAAATTAGGGCTGTCCCTCGTTAATTCACGAAAGGAAATTAATACAACAGTATCATTTGGATTGCTGAAGTGGTGAAAAATAAACTTTTCCCGATGGAAAAAGTTATTCCTGCCCATACCTCGTCAGCTAGCGATCCGCACAGGTTCCGGTTGGGGCACAGGTTTCCATGTGCCTTCTCGTCTTTTGGTCCAAAAGTGAAGATGCCTTTGGCCCTGGGAAATGAAAAAAAACTTTCTGGGCCTTGAAAAGTTTATTATTCCATTCAAACACTTTGACGTTCAGAGCCAAGCAAAGGCAGCTTATTGAAGCCCCAAAAGGCTTTTTTTAAACAACCTCCAACTTGAACCGGAACCATCCGAGGCTACCTCGTCAGTTTCTTAAATATACACTCCAGCAGGTTGAGGCACAGGTTTCCATGTGCCTTCTGGGCAAACATCAACCTTGTAGAGCTCGTGCCCATGAGACGAAACGAGAACCCGGAGCATACTCACGGCTGCGTACTCATAGAAGCACCGATCACACACACTTTTGGTCCAAAAGAGAAGATGCCTTTGGCCCTGGGAAATGAAAAAAAACTTTCTGGGCCTTGAAAAGTTTATTATTCCATTCAATCACTTTGACGTTCAGAGCCAAGCAAAGGCAACTTATTGAAGCCCAAAAAGTTTTTTCTTTTTTGTTAACCACCTCCAACTTGAACCGGAACCATCCGAGGCTACCTCGTCAGTTTCTTAATTCATGGAACGAAATTAAGATTGTCCTCGTTAATTCTCCCTAAGCCACCTCGTTGCCTCGTTTGTCCTCGCTATAATTTGTGCAGACCAATTGAACCCCCAAACCTCACTTCTATAGATTCTATACCTGAGAATCCTGAGGCTACACCCAGGCAAGGCTCCTGATTGAACCCCCTTCTTGACTCAAAAAGGGCCCAAACGACCAATGACCGACCCCACGGCCCAGCAACCGCTTTTCCTTCACCGAGCCTCAACGATCGATCTCGGTGGCCCCCTCCAACCCGCCCACCCGCCGCCTTCGGCGCGACATCGTCCACCCCTCAGTCGGAGGAGAAACCTGGGCCCCCCCCACCACTGGAGGCCAAAAGAAACCGTCGTTGCAGAAAACAAGCATCGAAAGAAGACATAAACAACAGAACATCCACCCAACAGATCAAACGTGTCCCGCACAGGTGTAGGTGGAGTCAGGAATTTCACCATCCCCAAAACCCGGCAGGTTCGATGTCCAGCGAACTCACTGCGGACCTCTACCTGGCTCTTCTTCTGGAAACTGGCTCTTTATATTCTTTAGTTGGGAGAGCATGGACAAACCAGGGAATGTTCAATCCTTCTCACTAGTAAAACTTGATGGAACAAATGGTCTGTATAGCTGGAGGAGTTGAACTAGCCCTTCAAATACCAAAGTGGTAAAGAGCTATGCCCCTTCAGAACCCTTGTATAAAAATCTCCGACACTGTTTCTTTCGAGTTCCTATAAAGTTTTATCAAGTGGGTAACATGCCAACAGCTTGTACACCGGTGCACTTCCTTTTTGCGGACACATTTCTGGAACATGATTGTTGAATGCATCAAACGGATGAAAAGGGTGGCTGTGACAAGTGTTACACCGTTTTCTTCTCTCCTTCTTGCATGTTGTCCTTACACCTGAATGTGCTAACGTAACGCTGCAGCCATCAGCCATCTTGTTCTTTGGCTGCCAGCCTTGACAGTGTGGTGTACCCTATCGTTAATTGCTGACTTCTATTGGCCAACTGCCTAGATCATCTAGATCCTAACTGAGTGACAGGTGTTCTAGAATACCAGCTACACGTCCAAATTTTGCCGATCATAATGGTGGTACATGGTGGTACAATGTATGTACATATGCCAGTCTCATGGAGTGTCTGGGAATCACTTGAAGATATCACGTACGTATGAACACTATATCAACACAGCGGTCAAATTTTGTTTCTCCGGGGTAGACATAGAGCCAGCTCTGGTTTGTCACACCATGGACTATGGCAGCGCTCCTTCACCCAAATGCGATACAACTTGCTAAGCATCTCCGTTGGCACCAATCTCAAACACAACTATGCCGACCCAGATCTCGACCCCTGAAATCAACCACCCCTGACTGATCGGGTTGCCCTAGGGAATGACAACTCGCTTGTTTTATTTTTATGTCTACTTTTGCAACTAACACCCTGGTCGACCGCACTCACCATATACTCGGTGTTGGTGATATTGTTCCACATTGGGCTATGCCATTGGAGTCTAGTCTATTTATAGACATATCATACTCAGTGTCTAAGGCTTGACAATCCAAAGAACATGAAAGAACAACAGGATACTGGTCCATGTGTGGCAAACTGCGATGAACCTCAACAAATGAACCATGAAAGGTGTTTCTTTCTCCCGTTTCATCACTAACTACTACCCACCAGCCACACCTTCCACGATACGCAGCGAAAGACCCACCGATCACTCCCCGCCATGGCCGGCGCCCTAAGCGATTTCGCCCGCCGCGCGGGCCGATTCGGCGCAACGTCTCCGCGGTCGCGGAACCTTTGGTTTCCACCTCGGCCGTGTCGCCGTGGCCGTCCAACTCCTCCGCCTCCTGGTGTCGTGAAACGCGACGCACGGGAACGCGCGGACTCCGTGCGCGCGGAGCCCGAAGTCTACTCCGCTGGTGCGGAGGCTTGGAGGAGGTGGAAGGGTGGATGTCAGACTCAAACTTCAAACGGTGGTTGCAGAAGCAAAGGATGAAGGGATGACTCTATACATAGAACGACGTATGAAGGGGTTTTCCATGTCCATATATATATATATAATATATATATATATATGCCTGATAGACTGGGCGATTGCTGTCAGGGTTTATCAACCCAAAACGATCCTGGATGATCTTGGATGTGTCTGACTCCTTCAGTTTCCCTGAAAAACATGTTAACCAAACTTTCTACCTGTTCTTGTGAAAGATGTCCCCCAAAAAAGGTTAAAGGATGTTAAAGGCAGGTTATCCATGTACCTCCTGGGTATGGTGTGACTCCGACCAGTTGACCCAGCTGCATGCGCTGATCCAGGAGTCACCAGATCCATCCAGTTCTGCCGTCACGTAAGGATCGAAACATCCGACGAAGACATCACATATTGAAGTGGAGTTCACATCCTGTTGTGTATAGGATCCAGTCGTTTGTTGAAGGGACCATGTCTCAAGTTCCTTGTTAGTGAGTGTGTAAGCCGGTGCATTGATTTCATGAAGCTCACTTAATGCCATTATTGAGAAACAAGCCTGCAGGCACCTCTGCAAGCCTCCGGTGTTCACTTGACAAACAAAAAACATGTCTTGGAGAACCCAGCCATCGATGTCACGAGATATGCTAACCATCGAAACCTTGTATATACGCATGGTGAGGCCAGTCCACCCGCACCAGTTCTGGAAGGTTTGGGATCATCTAAGCAACATGGAACCTTGGAATTACCTGCCTAGTCCGCTGGGCGATTCAAGAGATTTCACGACGTTCCACATCTGGATCCCCCTTCTGCCGTTCCTTAAAAAGAAGGTTCTTCCGACAGGTGAGGTCGGTCTACCCTTCACTTAGCAAGGTCGAGGGGAATCAATCCCTGCTGCGGGCCAGACTCCACCAGACTAGGATTGGGACTAGAGGATTGAAAACGTTTAACTCCGCAAAGTAGGATTTCAAAACGTTTGACTCTGTAGGATGCAAAGACGTTTGTTCCTGTTCCAATCGATATTTGTGTATCACTCCAAAGAAGAAGCTCTAGCCTGCCGGGCACAGTCTTCACCCAGTGTGGATTCGAGTTCACATGGTGTTTCATCACGGGGGAAGTCAAAAAGGTTTCTATGGACCACATTGGACCACGTGATCCCCTCAACTGATGGATCGATGGATTTCACCATGCACGACTCTCCTTAGTATTACATCGCTTCAACAAGTCGGGACTATCCACATCAAGCCATCTCAGCGCCCTTCACTCTACTGTTCCCTGCCCTGTTCCACCGGCTCCTTCCCAATCCCCATCTCCTGCGGCAAAGCCTGGTAGCCCGCATGGGCTAAGGAGTCCACGGCCACGGACTTGTTCTTAATCCGGGCCTTGGTCCGGTTCGGTCCGCAACTGGCGCAGGCCCGGTGTCGGTAGGAGTGCAGTCCACAACCGGCGGTTCTTGTTTGTTTTAAACTAAAAGTGTCGCGGGAGTGTCAGGGGAGCGCAACTCCAAAGTCGAAAGTTACAAACAACCAAAAAACGTCGACATGGAATTGGTTGTTGTTGTTAACGTTGTTGTTGTTGGTGATTCATTGCTCTGAGTGGGTGACGCGAGTGAAAAGGAACTTCCACTTCAGTGAGCAATGTAGAGCCGATGTGGACTTCTAGGGATGTCATGGGGTATCTATATATAATACTATAGTTCTATCTCTCTAATGTAGTGCCAAGAGGATCAATGTTAGAGCGATTTGTTGAGCGGCTTTCAGACCTGAAGTGGAGTGGATCTTCACACGACGGGTCCCAAGAATCACATGCGGAGGACCCGTCACTTCTATCGTGGAGTCAATCTGTTGGGAGGATTTGCTCTCGGATCCTATAGTTGGACTGTCCGATCTTCGACTGGCATTTGCTCTCGGCAGTCCTGGAATCGGTCCACGGCCTTGGTCCTTCCATTCGTTTTTTGGGGCTCCAAATGCTACAGGGCCGTGGCTTGGAACTCCAAATGATGCAGACCAGACCTGGACACCTCAACCATCTGGTAAAGGTTTCAGAAGGTCATGCAGAAGCCTTGGAGCTCCCAAGAAAGCCGACTCTAATATAGATCTTGGAAGGGTGGCGGCGGCGATCTGCCAAACTGGACGAAGTTGAACAAGTGTTCCTGGACAAATCGTTCATGCATTCATGCCTCATCTGGGTGACAGTGGCCAAATGGTTTAAGAGTACAAAGCAGCTTAAAACAAAAACATGTTGCATGCTTTATATTTTGGCCACACGTGTTCATATTTTTCTCTTTGCCAAACCGTTTGGATTGGGTTTCGGGATCTTCCAGGAGCACATTTTGAGAGCCGTATACCCCCGACCTTCCAAGCGTCGAACATTTTGGTCGAACAAAAGACATACCCTTCGAAATAGCCTTTCTACCAGGACCCCCAGTCGGGATGGTTAATGGACACCCCGAATCACAGCTAAGGGGCTATAAATAGACACCCTCTTGGAGGGTCCTGGTATATGAGCCCATTTAAAGGTCCCAATCTATAACCCTATACACCTCCAAGTACCTCCTCAGAAGGTATTTGGACCCTCCTGGCACCCACCCCAGTCCCACCGAACCTCAGGTTCGGTACGAAAACGGAGGCCAAACGGGGGAAGGACTTCCCCCCCACGTTCCCCCGCTTCGCCAAGTCACGTAGATCAGCATGCCCGTCAATGCCTTTCGAAACGATTCCTCTTCACTCCGTGGGACGTCGCTTCGGCGATGCTGGTGGGGTCCAAGCGATGCCAAGCGGGTTGGAAGAAGCGCTGCCCAGATTCCAAAGGTTCCATGTACGTTTAGGTGCGTAGAAGGTGACATACCCCAAGGCCCCAAGGCTCCTGGCCCAGGTGGTTAGACCGTTAGACCGTTGGACCCCTTGGCACCCACCCCAACCATTTTCGAAATGGAGGTAGTTGGTGCCCTAGGGTTTCTGGGCGGCTTGACAGGTCATGGCAGTGGAGCCGACTTGACTCTGGACGCCCCGGGTCATGGCTGAATCCCAGCGGCCAAGAGAAGACCAGACCACTGCAGCCCGGTGGTCTGCTCTCCAAAGACGACAATGGAGAAAAGGATGGTCACCTGGATCTTTGAGAAACAGCTGAATGCTGGGCACTCAAAGAGGATGTGGGACATGAGTGAGACAGCTGATTGGTTTCTGCAAGTGAATTTGTGTTTGGTGTTTGTTGCAAAACGACACAGGTATATTCCCTAACCTTCAAAGGGGTGCGAAACATGGAGATGCATTAGTAGTGTTACGTAGGGTAATGCATTGGAAACCCTTCGGTGTTTCTTCATGTTGGTCCGTGCTGTGTGATCATTGGGCTGATCATGACACATGAGAAATTCCCCTATAGGTGGATGAATACCAGCCTTGTTCATGTTCCGCTTCATGCCATGCGGGAAAAAAAATGGAAACAATGCTTTGATGTCCAGGGTCTTCTTGAAGTCTCTTGAAGTCTGAAGCAAAGACCTTTAAACTTGAAGAGGAGCTGTACATCTAAACAGTTGAACATCGATCCAGCTTGTCCTCCCATGTTGGAATCCTTGAAGACAAATAGTCAGGTTTCACTTGTGGAAAATTATCCCAGACCTAAGCCTAAGCCTAACTAAGTCACCAGTAGCTGCCAAAGGAGTCCGCTTTTTGGAACATGTTTTTGGTCATGTGAAACACATCAAGCAGGTGCAGGGGATTCAAACTTGCTGCAGGGGTATGTTTTGAGAAATTGATAAAACATATTATTTCTTCTTTGCGAGCTTTAAGAGGTCTTTGACCGCATTTTGTGCAATTGACGGAACTTATGCAAACAAAACTCAGCACGCCAAAAATCCTGGGATGCCTCGCATGGGGCGGCTACAAATGTATATATATAGATGCTGACCCGTGACCTCTCCTTGTCTCTGCCCAGGAACTACAGATTTCAGATTGCCAAACACGGAGAGTGTCAAGGAAGACCTCGGTGAGGTCACAACTTCAGCAGAGTCGAAAAGGCAGTAGTAATGCATCCGATAGCGCTTCACCAGGATCGAACCAAGTTAGTGCTCTCTCCCAAACATCATGCATTCATGGTGGGACCCAGTCATTGATTCGAAAGGAATCCCTTCCAATCATGCAACCATTGATCCTTGCACTTTGAGGAAACAAAGGGTCTTTCCATTTCTTGCACCCGATGAAAGCAGCTCTACCATATGTGGACCGTTTTACCATATGTTACCCAGTTCAGGTAGTTTGTAGACGTCCCACTATGCCATGCATTTACCATCCAATATCCATCGGTATAATGTCCACTTAAACAGGACATGACCCGAAATAGTACCCCTCTTGAAAAACAGGGTAGTTTAATATAACCTGACATGACCCGACATGATCCTATGGCCCATAGATCCCATAGAACATGACCCGACATAGTACCCCTCTTGAAAAACAGGGGTACTTCCAGTGCTCCCTCCTCCCGAGGTGTCCGAACTGCGACTCCCAGGGCACAGGACTGATCCCCAACTCCTTCGATCTTCATGAGGTGCCACAGGTGGTTCCGCCAGTCCCAGACCACCTACGCCCCACCTAGGCCCCCTGGCGTGACCTTCACCAGCTGCACCTGGCAACGTCAGGACGTGTCGTCAAATGTGTATAGGTTGAAGATCAACAGTTAAATCACACACGGATGTGTGTTTCTGGTACGATTTGATATCTCTTTGAGGATGTCAACCGTGATAACATGCATTCACAAGGCCAAACAATGCTCAACATGAAGAAACCATGATGATGTTATACTAGGGGCAGATCACACAGGACTTTATGGTCAGTTTTGGAACGCACCGTATGCACATGAGATACATACCTTGAGAAGGTGACAAATGCCGGGAACACATGAGATGCATGTTTCCTTTGATTTTTTTGAATGGTATATGGGTGGTATGAACCCCAAAAGAACAGATGACATGGGACTCCCTTCATTCAGATGACGAGAATAACACACCGTGCATAACATGACATTCTCATCCTCCCTTCATTCTCATCCTTCTAACATTGACATGTGAGAACTTTGTATACACACCGTGCATAAATACACATATCTGGAGTTCGAATCCTTTTCTGGAATCAAATCTGCAGGTCTTATCTCATGCAACCACTACCTGTTTGTCAATCCCCGCATTATAGGTTGCGGATACATGAGATGGGACTCTGACCTATTCACAACCACGTGAGCGTTTTGGTTCTTGTCATGGACTCTGTAGGGCTTGGGCCACCTTGGAATCCGAGATTCTGAGGATTTGAACAGATGAGATGCGTTTTGCTTTTTGACATGTCTGTCCTCTCTTTTTGGAGACCGTGGACAAAATGACATAGGAAAGGTGGTGATTTGGAGGTCGTTGCACAACTCACAATGTCATCTGTACCTAGTATATATATATATATATCATGCTGTCCAGCGTCTGGCTGTTAGATTTCACGACCTTGGCAGTGAGCACTGTAGCATAACCTGTCTTTCCTTGTAAGGTTCTATCAACTACCAGGGCCCCCTAAGGGGTGGTTAATAAACACCACACCCCTATAACCTCTAAAGGGCTGTGAAATGCTTTTTGATAGACACTCCCAACCAGGAGGCAATGGTCAAAATCTGAGAATGTGTTGGTTCTCCCCCCAGGGCAGGGCCCTTGCCCTCTCTAAACAAGGCTTCCGCCAGCCGCTTCACCTCGATGAGAAGCAGCAAGAACGCCAAGAAGCCTGGTGCGAGCACCTGGGGGATCCGTACCAGTCGGACGAAGCCTGCAGGTCTCCGCCGGGCCCCCCGCCAAATGTCCAGGGGGTGAGTCGGGCCTTTCCAGGAGAACCACCCCCTACAGGTGGTTTCCTGCATGGTATAGTATGATTATGTATGATTTCTTGTCTTAGATGCACCAATTGTTTTGGAAAGTCCTGTGAGGAAGCTCTCTATCCCACGAAAGACGAACCGCCGTTCACTACTGCTGCTCTGAACCGTGGAGCTTGGGAGGTAGAACCTGTTTTTTCGGAACAACAACCATCTCTGTTGGTGCAGAGACGGTCTTGCTTCAGTAAACCCTTTCTTGGAGTTGGTAGATCCAAAACCCTTTCTTCCGAAGAACCATGCGAACCTGTTGACAAGACATCGACAACAAACAACTTACAGGGAGTGGACAATGTCATCCCTCTGCGTCCCTTTGGTGTATTCCACATTTGCTTTCCACATTTGCTAAAATCCACCATGTAGATAATAAACAAGAGACGACTTGGTCATTTGCCAAAACCCCTGGGCCCGGGAGATCGATGCGTTTTTTCCAAAATCAGGAGTCGTTGTGCAACAGCCGTGTGCAACCGCCTTCTTTTCCACGGCCAGGAAGCCCAGCACAATCTTTCAGATGTTTGCAGCCTCGACCTTTCCATGTTTTTTGGCTCAGAAAGGCTCAGATCTCAGATGTCCACAAAGCCACATAGTAGGTATCAATACAATGGTTCTTGTCCGATGCATCCTTTCATTTCCAAGAAAACGTCAAGGATGATGAGTACAATCTGTCTAATTCATCGCTCCGGCCCCTTTGAGAGACGTGGGTCACTCTGTTTGTGCACGCTTCGAGTTGCTTTGAGGTAACATGATGACGCGGCCATGTAAAGCCTCTCAGAACGCTTCAGTGCTCTTGGTGCATTTTTCATGCAACCAAACCTCCAGAGGTTCTTCAGATTGAAGTGCCTGCAGTTGAGACTCCTTGTCAGTGGAGAAGTAGCGATACAAACCATCTGCGACCAATAAGTAGAATCTCTGCGTCCCTGGGGTACATCTTCACTGTAATGTTGTGCATCAACCCAGAAGCTCCATGGGACGTACGTACACCACGTAAGCTGTAAGCTTCTCAACGACGTACCGCGCATGTCCCTCGGCCGTCAGGCCAAATGTCGGTGATGTCCAAGGAGACCTGAGCGGGACAGACGGTACAAATGGCCGAAACAATGACGCATGTCCTTAGTTACATTATATGAATAGTACTATAGTGCTTTCTTCCACGTTCAGGTCGAACAACTCTTTCAACTAATAGCTTACCGACAAATCATTGATTGTTTCGTTTTTGAAACTTGCCCAAAAAGCACCAGTTTGGATCTGCTCGCTGCCACTCAGTCTACTCAGTCCCCCACCAAGTGGGTAAGTCGTTGCAAGCCAACCCAGGTCCTCCGATAGATGGGCGTCAAATAGTCCGACGCGTTCCTGCAGCAAAACTATCTCAAACACTGATTTGTGCAAAGTTGCCAAGACCCTTGGGATATTGGTAGTTGTTGTTGCCTAAACCTTGGGATGACGACAGTTGCCTAAAGCCAACCTTTAGTAGATTCAGTAGGTTTTGTTCAGTAGCAAACCTGGTTTTGCAAACCCGGGAATTGTATGGAATTGTCGTTTTCTACCGAACCAAAGCCGATGAAGACTGCAAAGATCTAAACATAATTTGCACTCAAAGGAATTGCACAAAACAAGGCTCCTCCAGAAGGCATGTCCCTGAAATCACAAAGCTGTTCAACTCTGCGCCCAATCAACATGCAGGCCAAAACAGAGCTCATGCCCGGGTTCTAGGTCGTGAGGCTATACACTTCCCAAAAGTTTCCGCATCTTTAGCTCTTCAGTGGTCTCCAGTTTAACCCCCAGCTTCAAGCGAAACCAGCAAGCTCTAAGCTGATTCCATCCTACAATGTCCTTTTGGAAATCACTAATATATATATATATATCAGTCGATTCCAGGATCCTATTGAACATCTTTTTGGTTGTTCACCTGGGGGTTGTCCCCTCCCTCTTTTCCACTCCACCAACCCAGGTGGACCAGGGCCGCCTCGGGCCGCACCAACCAGGTCCGAGGCTCTGAGCTTGTACGACCACCCAAGTGCTACGGTCCAAGGAACCTGCGGCATTCGACCCAACCCGGTTGCTCGGTCCCACGGGCGCCGCTCCAAGGCCTCCGGCCGCCTGTGCTCAGATACTGAGTCCGGTCTGTAAACTTGAAAGGGATCTTAGGTTGAAAGGTCAACAAAGTGAGATAAGCCTGGCAACGTTTCCAGGAAAGATCAGATATTATAGAGCTTCAAGGATTTTTCATCAACTGAATCAGCCTGGTGCACGAGATGTTAGGGTTCTTGCAGCATCCTCGCAGAACTCACTGATCCGACTGATCATCGGCGCCCAGTGCCACCGCCCACACGGTGCCACTCGTCACGCAAGACTCCTCACCCCTCCAAGACTCCTCCCCCCCACGATCACTCCCCGGTACGATCGCTCCGTCATGAGATACGCGCCGCCTCTACGCGCCGATCACCGCTCACCGCGGTGATCGAGGCGTCAGCATCACGCACCGCGTCACCGGGTCGTACGGAGCCTGGCCTTCCAGGGTCCATTGCACCGGATCTCTAAAGCAGCGGCCATCTAAATGACACGCCACGCCATCGTGCGTGACCTGTCGGTCGTCGCTCGGCTCCAGGGCCGTGGCGAAGCGAAAGGCGTCCAGCTCCTGGGCGATCAAAAGACAACGACCAAAAGCAAACAAGCCGAGGAGAGGAGCAAATCCATGGTGAATTCCAGAAAAAGCTGGGGGTTAGCTGGTGAATAGTCCCATGAGGATTCATCTTCTTCTTCAGGTCCAGGTGAGTTGGACCTCATGGAAACTGGAGTTGATCAAAATGCAAAAGCACGACGATATATACCAGGGCCCCCGGTTTGGGGTGATGAATGGATACCCCTCAACCTCTAAGGAGTTATAATTAGACACCCCTTACAGGACCCCTGTAGGTTTTACTTGCAGTGATACCACATGAATACAATTGTCCTGCACTCCTCAACTTCTGAGTTCTTGGATTCTTGGATTTTCGGGGATGGAGGGCACTAAGTCCAAACACACATGGGTTGAGTGATGCTTCGTGATGCTTCCTGACGCCTGGTGCATGTTCAGATGCTTTCAGTGTAGGGTCGCGAGGACCGTCATCCCAGCAAGTCGCATGATGCCGACGGGTCGTTGGACGGACCAGCTTCCATCGACCAATGCTAAGGTACAAACCTCGAACTGTGTGGGGACGAGTAATAAAACACAAGAATTCAAACAATTTCAAACATATTCAAACACCCAAAGCGATCAAAAGTGTTGCCAGGTCTGCCTCAACATGTTCACCAACACAAAAAGTTGAGAAAAAGACTCATCTGTCGTCGTCCCTTGATTCCAAATTCCTTGAGATTCAGTCACACAAACAATTTCATCATCCCATTATCCTAAACAAAAGTATACCTGGACTCTGGACCCTCCAAAGTACGTACCTTAGAACATGGGAAAATGACCCCATATTGTAAAACACAAGGTAGACTTGTACTCGTTTTCCGCGGTACGAACTGAGACTCCAGGTAAGTAAAACTACCAAACTCACATAGATCGACATAGAACTGCCAACGTCTGACCGCCGAAATCAGTGTCGTCTTCCAACATGTTCAATTGTGGTCGTTTTTTGGGGGGCAAATATAGAACATCCCTGACTCGAATGAAACCTTCATGTTGAAACAAAGCTTCTGGACCCAAACACTCTCAATCACCTTCATGTTTTGCTAAGCAAACCCCTACAAGTCCAGTCTGACCCATGTCCAAACCTGGTTCTGAGATGTTCTGAGAACGTCAGTAAGAGTCGTGTTTTGTATGGTCAACTCCAGCAAGATGAGGTCCAACTGGCCTGTAGGGCCTAGGGTCTGTAGGGATAACATATCCTACTCATTCATACAGTAACCCTCTTGACCCACCCAAGAAGGTGTAGCATGAAGCCTTGGTCTGACACCACCACCAGCCAGCATGATGTTGCTCAAACGACTGCTTCTGCAGCGTCCCGTCCCATGCTTCAGCCGTCCAGCGACCGTTTCCACTCCGAAGTCGAACTCCATGGCCACACCCACCAAGTCCACGACCTCACTGATCTTCGTCCCACGTTCCACGGTCTGTCGTTCCACCGTAAAGGTTGTGACCGTCCCGGGTCCGTCGTTGGAGTTCGGACTCCCCGCCGTCGCCTGTTCTTGTTTAAGTGGAGAAACCACTACTCCCCAACAAAAAGGTTAGGAAGGTGATGCACGTACGACTTCTTTGGTATATGATGTCCGGAGGGTGGCACGCCACATCGTTCGATGGACTCCGAGAAAATGGGACAAACGAATCGACCTCCAACATGTTTCACGGTCCAAGTATCAAGACGATCAATATCATGATGCTTTGCCAATATTTGAGGACCAAGGTGGATCACCCGGGGCGGGTGCAAAGTGATTCAGGTGATCCAAGCACATTGGAATTATATATGCCTTCAAGTACGAGTGGATACCTCTCTCTAGAAACTGAGGACAACATGGTGCCCATTGAAATCGACATGAGACATAAATAAATTAGGCTTCTTGCCAAGACCCCAAGTGCCTCCCTCAAAACGACGTCGCTCCGGGCCACCGTGGAGCTCAGGTCGCCGTCCAGCGCCCGCGCGTGCGAAAGGTCTGACAAGAAGGCGACGCCTTGAGGCACCACCAGCTGCTCCCAAACGCCTCACGCGAGCGACACGACGTGCGCGAGCGACGCTATGTCTACGTCCGCCCTTCATCCCTTGACTCTTGGAAAGTATCAGTGCAGGGAAAGTGGCTGAGATTCTTCTGGGGGCGTTTATTAATCAGAGGTCAACAATTAGAGATATGAACCAGGAGTCACATGGAGGGCCTGGGTGGTTTTTGGTCACAGT